GGCTGGGAATGGCAGAGACTCCTGGGAAAGCTGCACATTTTTACTCCACCCTAACATCATCCCTTCCCCGTTGTCATCACCTCTGCAGGATGAGAACACGGATAAAGGGGAAGAGGGCAATGCCTGCTCTGAATTCAGGGAAACTGAGGCACAGGCAGATCGATCTACTCTGCAAGCTCGTGTTGAGGGGGGTGTAGGGATTGATCCCAGCTCCTAAAGCCTCCCACAGCCACCACCCAGCCCATCCTCACCGCTTTGGTGCACTGCACRTCCTTCCCCAGCAGCCAGTTGAGCTCCAGGTTGCCCTCGCCCTGGTAGCAGGACTGCAGGCGCTCCTTGATGTGGGTGTTGACGGTGCTGATGGGGAAGGCGCAGAGCGCCGAGTCRTCGGGCGGGTGGTGGTACTGCTTCTGCCCCTTGGAGAAGATGGCAAAGAGCACATCCTCCTGCGCTGTGATGTTGAGAGCCCTGGCCAGCACCTGCCCTGGCTTGGACAGGTAGGCAGCCTGCAGCAGCCGGTACTCGGTGTCACCCTTGACGCAGCCGAAGGGCAGCGACACGTACGAGTGGAATTTGGGGTCGTCCTTGCACAGGCGCACGATGCGCGAGGTGTAGAAGAGGTCGCTGGCAGAGTTGATGGAGACGCCCTCGGGGGTCTCCGGCTGCACCGTCAGGAAGTAGACRAAGTTGCCGCTGGCGAAGCCGTAGATGTAGAARATGTCGAAGTGTGACACCAGGGCCAGCGTGTCCGAGGGGATTTTGATGAGGGACGAAACGAAGTCGCTGTGGAGCTCGTAATCCAGCATYGCCGACGACTCCGGGTCGCGGGGCAGCTTGCGGCTGGACAGGGTGGGGAAATAATCCTGCTTGCCGTCCACGGCCGTGCCGATGAAGAGCTTCCCGTCCTCGCCCTCGGAGCGCACGATCACGCCGTACATGGTGCCCGTCTTGTTGACGCTGGACAGGTAATGCTCCTTCTTGTGCGAGGGCTCCACCAGGATGAAGAGGTCGTCGAGGCGCAGCAGCTTGCACACGCCCTGGTAGAGGCTGCCGCACGCCAGCAGCCGGTTCTCCGAGTAGTCGATGATGAGCAGCTTGTTGACGTTGTTGGTGAGGGTGAGGATCTCGCTGCACGGCTGCACGATGAGTGGCGGGTAGCAGGATTTGTTGTCCTCCTCGGGGCCGGTTTTGTGAGCCACCAGGATGGTCAGGTTCCCCGAGAGCTTGTAGACCCTGTTGGTGGCCCCCAGGTAGACCGCCCCGGTGCCGCGGTGCACCGTCAGGTGGTTGAACGTCCAGTCGCGGTGCTCCGAGTGGAACGTGGTGAACGAGGCGTTGCTGGACACGTTCTGGGACAGTGACACCAGGAAGAGRCAGAGCAGAGCCACTGACCGGCCATCAGAGTCCAGTACCCGAGGCCATCTCCTCCTCTGCTCCATCCTGGGAAAGGCGAGCTCCGCGTCCCCCGCGCGTGTCCTGAGCCCCGGCAACGTCCCTCACATGGTTCTGTGGAGACAAGAAACCACCCAGAGCGAAGGATTAGATCCCGTGCGCCCTGCAGATAAAATTCGAAGGAGCCTTTCTAATTACACAGTCCTTGAGATAAAGCGAGGATGTCTCCAAGCACAGCCCGAATTAAGCAAGTCCTCGACTCACTGGTGAGCAGCTCGGTGTTTTTTGCTGCTACTTTCAGCCCCTGCATGTTAATTTGTGGGGTGGTTGGGCTGTGGACAGCGTGCTCTACTCAGCCAGGGAGGGCAGAATCGTCTCCAGCCCGAGACAAAGCCTACAGCTCACATCCATCTGCAACCTTGGCTGAGAGGATGTCTCCYGCAGGGTGTGTGGCTGGAAGCAGCAGAGGAAATAGGAGCTGTTCTTTACCTTTAAAGCCTCTCTGATTTAATTTGGAAACCCGAGGAAGGAGCCCCGTGCAGACAAGTTCACTGAGCACACACACACTGAAGGTGCTGACAYCTCCTCAGAGCCAGCAGTGCCTCAAGCAGGTGCTTTTCAGGCAGAAGCTCCTTCAAAAGGTGCTTTCCTGCCAAAAAGCAGCTGCCACCACKGTGTGAGCACACGGTCAGGTCCCATCAAAGCCTCCAGCAGTCCTCTGGCACGGAGAGAGCACCAGCCTGGAGCAGCATGCTCAGCCTGGCCAGGATGGCCACGGGAAACCACCACAAAGCTCTGCTTTACCCCAAATTACACATTCCTTTGTGTTCCAGGCTGGGCAGGCAAAGGAACCACGTCAGAGCCATCCTGCAGGGTCTCAGGGTCCCCCCAGCCCTGGGAAGAGGCTGAGGATGAGCCCCCATCCTGCAGCCACCCCCTTGCAGTGGGGCCAGGCCCCATGGAAATCCCTGTGCTCGGCAGATCCGAGCCCCTGCCCCGGGTTCTGTCCCCTAATCCATGCTCAGATCCCCCTGATCTGCTGGGTGCTGCTCCTGGTTTGATATTCGGAATGATTCCCAGCGCTGCAAAGCCCCCCTGAGCTGGGGAGTGTCACCAGGAGCCCCCCCGAGCTGGGGAGTGTCACCAGGAGCCCCAGTGTCACCAAGAGCCCCCCCTGAGCTGGGGAGTGTCACCAAGAGCCCCAGTGTCACCAGGAGCCCCCATAGCTGGGGAGTGTCACCGAGAGCCCCAGTGTCACCAGGAGCCCCCCTGAGCTGGGAGTGTCACCGAGAGCCCCAGTGTCACCAGGAGCCCACCCTGAGCTGGGGAGTGTCACCAGGAGCCTCTCTGAGCTGTGAGTGTCACCAGGAGCCCCCCTGAGCTGTGAGTGTCACCAGGAGCCCCCCTGAGCTGGGGAGTGTCACCAAGACACCCCTGAGCTGTGAGTGTCACCAGGAGCCCCCCCTGAGCTGGGAGTGTCACCGAGAGCCCCAGTGTCACCAGGAGCCCCCCCTGAGCTGTGAGTGTCACCAGGAGCCCCAGTGTCACCAGGAGCCCCAGTGTCACCAGGAGCCGCTCCTTAGCCTTGTTCCTGCCGGCAGCCGGAGACGGCTGCTCCTCAGAGGTGACAAAGGAGCGCTGTCCCCGCGCTGCCGCCTCCGTGCCGCTGACAGGAGACACGACAGGAGACAGGGAGCCCTAATGGGTTTCTCACTGTGCTCAGGGAGGCATTTCCCCGGCTGTTCCCATCTCCCTGCCGGGCTGTGCGCTCCCATCTTTGGCCGAGGCCGTTTCTGTGTCCCAGGGAGGACACAGACCCTGCCCCGTCCCCGCTCGGTGGGGACAATTTTTTTTCCCCCACAGCACCAGGGCACTCCCCAGCTCTGCACATTGAATTTCTGAGTGAACATCTCCATCATCAGCTCCCTGAGCTCGGAACCTTTCCAAAGGACACAAATCAAATGTTCCCAAGGACCCGACGGAGGAAGACTCTCCATGCTGGTGACACATGGTGGGCAGTGACATCTGGGCACGAGGGGCTCAGAGTAGCTTTGTCTGGAACCCCAAAGGGCCCCAAAATCTGGGACATGATCCTGTACAGGCTCTGCTCCGAGGGAAGCCCCAAAAGGGAGAGATCCTGCACAGAACAGGATGTGTAAAGCGAATTGTGGGCTCAGAGAGTGGGGAGGGGTTGGCAGATGTTGCCAGCTGTGGCTGCCCCATCCCTGAAGTGCCCAAGGCCGGGCTGGACGGGGTTTGGAGCCAAAGGGACCGTGGAAAGTGTCCCTGCCCTTGACAGGGGGTGGCACTGGATGATTTTTAAGATCCCTCCCAGCCCAAACCATCCAATAATTCCCCGTGGAGGAGGCCAAACACCTGGGGAGTTAAACACCAGCAGAACGGGTGATTTTAACTCTGATCCTTAATACCATTTGATCATTAATTTTCTCTCTCTCTCTCTTTTTTTTTTTTTTTTTTTTTTTTTTCTGAAGAGAGTTTTAAAATACAGCCTCAGAAGCAATCTGCAGCTATTAGTAACGCAAGGTGAAAGCGAGAGTAAATTCAGGGACACAATATAAACCCAAGCAGCTGAAAGGCCTCAATTAGGCTGAAAGGAGTTATCTGGTATTTAAATAATTATTAGATTGAAGGAATAATCACAGGTCTGAGCCGATTTTTTCCCCCACTGTCATCCTAATGGAGACTATAATATTATTATTCAAATGCCCATGATTCTCATTGAGGGGGGAAGAAAAAAGGGCTCATTTAATCTCCATGCGACAGGGCTTCAGGAGGCACCATTAGTCATTTCTCTCATTTCAGCTGTCACTCACTCACGGGCACCACAGTTTGTCATTAGCGGCGTTTTGTGCACACCAAAAAAAAAAAAAAAAAAAAAAAAAAAAGAGGAAAATTAAAGCCAAAACAACAAGAGAATCTTCTGTGGCAAATGACGGCTCAAAGGCACAATTCTGATGTCACCAGGGTGGCAGCTGTGTTTGCCTGGTGGGGAGGGTGGCTTTTCTTTGGGGGTGGTGATGGGGCTGGTTGGGTGAGCAGTGATTGACACCCAGCTCTGCTGGACCCTCACCCATCACCTCTCCTGTGCTCCTGGGGTATTTCAGCCCCTCTGGACATCCTCGGCATCTCCAGGACACAGCACAGCATCCCCAGGGCCTTCACTGACCCCCAAATCCTTACTGACCCCCCAAACTCTCACTGATCCCCCATCCTCCCTGACCCCAAATCCTCACTGACCCTCCATCCGCACTGAACCCCCATCCTCACTGACTCCCATTCTCACTGACCCCACACTCTCCCCTGCACCCTCCCAGCCCCACAAGCTTTCCCCAGTCTGTCCCTGTGTTTGTCCCTTCCCAGGGTCCCCAGGCCCCACAGAGGGGGAGCAGAGGGGGCCATAAATCCCACACTGGCTTTGTGGGGCTGTCTCCCTGCACAAACCCTCCTGAGGAATCCCAGAGGAGGGTCTGGGAGAGGGTCAGGGACTGCTCCCTGAGCTGGGGGTGGGTTCTGCCCTTTTTTCTGTTTATGGCCGGGATTGGGGCCAGCGGCTCCCAGCACTGACCCCCCCGCGGGTCATCTCCAGGTCACACCCCCCTGCATTGTCCAGAGGGTCACCAGGAGGGCACGAGCTGCACGTGAGAACCCCCAAAGGCACAGCAAACCCTCTGGATAACTGATCCTTTCCCTTTGCATCGCCCCGTGTTGGATCCACCCACAGAAATGAGGGGGAAAACCACGATTTTGGCATTTCTGTGTGGCCATCGGGAACACAAGCGCTGGACCCCCACCCCTCCTGGAGCACACGGGGATTTTCCTGTGAAACCCTTCCAAGCATTAAATCTGCTGCAGTGATTGATCCCCTCCGAGGAGCCGCATTCAGGACACGTTTGTCAGCCATGGAGGAAGACCTCGCAATAATTAATAGGGTTTGGGTTTAATTAGACACCAGGTCTGAGCCAGACTGTCTGATGGAAGCTTCTCCAAGCGCTGGGATGTTTCCAGCACGGATCAGAGGATGCTCAGTCCTGTCTCTGTGGCCAGGCCAGATGAGCCAGATGAGCCTTCCTCGCTTCAGCTCCTCCTCCAGGATCAGCCTTGGCCCAATCCGTGCCCAAACAGAGGATTTGATGTCCCTGGCAAGCCCAGGGCAGGATTTTGGGGAGCCTGGCACTGCTTCCCAAAACCCCAGCCGTGCCCAGCCACAGCAGAGTCTGACCCCAATGAAGTCATTGGCACCCTGATATGAATAATTGGAATTCTGTAACAAAGAGCAATGAGGACAGCTCCTACCACCTCTTTGCATTTTTTTTTTTTTCAATGTTTTGACTCCAACAACAATAAGAGCAAGTTGTAAATCACCAGCGAGGTGCCTGGAGTCGGCTCTGAGCTTTCTGCAGAGGTTATTGGCCCACAGGGATGACAAATGACAAGCTTTTCCTGAAACACAACCTGAACCCTTTGGGTTTTGGACCCAAATCCACCTTCCTGGCTCGCCCAGGGCTGCCTGTCCCCGCTCTGTGCTGGCAGCCACCAGCAGCAGCCACGCCAGGAGCTGTGTCCCCCCTTCATTCCCAGGAATGGCATTTCACCGGCTCGGCAGCGTTCTGAGAAAGAGTTAAGAGGGCAAAACACAGCATTGTGATTATTGCTTCCTCCAGGCCTGGGACAAGGAAGAGGAGGGGAAGAACAGAGCCCAGCCACGAAAAGGCATTTCCCTGATAACAAACACCATCGCAGGAATTATGCACAAAATGTGTCCCGAGCCCAGATATTTGTTTATACAGCACACTCTGTGCAAACCTCCTCTCCCCTCCGTCTCCCTCCTGTGCTCACACAGCCCAAGAGCTCCAGAAAAAACACAAAATCCAGGCAGGGACCTGCCCCAATCCCCAGATTTGCAGTTTGGAGGGCAGCACATGGCACACCTTGCGTTGTCCCAGAGTTGCTGGACAAGTCGAGCTCCTCTCTCTCTGTCCCCAAGGAGAGCCCACAGCTGTGGCTGTCACCCAGCTGTGCCTCACAGCTGGAGCCGTTTAATCCACCAACCCCACAGGGCTTCCAGGAAAAAACCCACAGGCAGCCCCG